CCCCCTCTGGGCAAAACAACCCAATAAAACACCAACCAACCAACCAACCAACCCCCCCAGAAACCCAAAAGCCAACACGCTACCCCTTCGCAGCATATCCCTTCTAACACCAGCTCCTAGACACCATCACGAAGCCCATGCGTCACGGGAAGACAGCGTCGAGCAGAGTAGGAAAAGCTACGAAGAGGTATCCAAGACTGCCGCTCGCCATGCAGGCTCAAACGCCCCCAGCTGGGGATCAAAGCCTAGAATCTCTCTCCCTAGAGCCATCTTACCTCTGTAATTTACCGGGGGCCAAGCACGCTCACGCACACATATATAACTCGCAGACCCATGACCACGAAGATTCCACAACAGGCGATGTGATCCGTCAGGGCGTTGTCTAACCCGCTTTGTACGCACTCCTTCACGATTGGCCTTGTATATATGTTACTGAGGTATGGTAGATAAATAGCGAAGCGTGACATAACCTAGGAACTGGGATGAACAGTTGACTTTTGCCGTTTTCTACTTCAACACCAACACCAAAAGCACGTGGAAAAGAAACCCAGTCCATCTCAGACCCAACCACACAAAGTTATTCGCAGCACGCATGCACGCACGCACTCCCCCCTACCCCATTATAGCTCAAGCTTGGAGATGGTGAGAAAAACCTTGGCCGTAAACTCCGCCCGCAAAAACAACCGCGCCACCAGCATCGATATCCAGCATAACGGTGCTGGGCAAGACACAGCCTCCCACAACGCCCGATATTAGATGCCAGATAGGTCTCCAGGCGGTCGATGCGCGACTGCTAATAGGACGCGTAGTGCGAGCAGAACAGTTTATTGATATCACGCGGGCGCCTGGGTTTCTACATGCGTGCTAGACATCTGTTGGGATGCGTTCAGCCCTGTCACGGGTTGCGAGGAGGAGTGCGGTGTGATGTGATGTGTGTGTGTGGTTATATCGCATCTGCCCATGCTGACTACTGCGTATCTAGACTGATATGTATATATACACCGCGAGCACCGCCTTCCCTTAGCACAGCGGAAGCGAAGTGCACAACACATACCCCCCCCCACCCACCACTCCCCGCGTCGTAGAAAGGGGAGTTGTGTCCCCCCCCCTCTGATATGTGTATCGACTGCTTTCCACGGTGTGAATGCTGTGTACGCCGTGCTGCCGAGCTGGCCGTGCTTTTCCGAGCAGTTTGTGACTCTTTCTCCATCGCTGTATGTTTAGCTCTTGGGACTAATCTCCGTCCCAAAGCGCTGTAAGAGGCGTACTGTACGTCTTCCAAGCTATGTGAGATGGCGAACAGGTGCAGGAGGGTACAAGTAGAGGCGAGAATCGGTGCCTTTGTACGCGCTAGGCGCGTTGGTCCGAGGATGATCTGCCTGCGGAACGTGTATGGTGTACTCCTGAGGTGTAAAAGACCTCTCGATGTTTTGAACGGAAGCGAGGAGTCTGGCATGATATCCCTAGGACGGATGTCGATTTGTATGGAGATTGGCGGTGGAAGGCGATCCTTGTACCGCCTGTCGAAGAGCGTAGGGGGCGGGGATTCAGAAGCGTTCTCCTCTCATAGCCGTCTTGGACCCTGCTATTGATGACCCTTGAGTTGAATGTGCGTCCATCCTGACCAGAACCATACGCCGACCAGTCCTACGACTCTGCCTCCCCTCTCATTCCCCAATACCATGGATCCCAACTCGAGAAGTCCAAATTCATCCCACGAATCGCTTTCCACACCCCTCCTCATACCCCGCCATACACACATCCGCACACTCGTCATACTCCTGCGTCAAACTCAACGTAACCCGGTCAACATGTTCCTTGCGACATTGATCCACGCACGGTGCGGCAGCGAGATACAACCCGCAGCAATGTGCGCCGCCGACATCTTTTGTGCAGAACGCCGCGTCAGAAGTCGAGTGTGAGGGCAGCATGTGTGCAACCATAGCATCGATTGTCGGTGTGAAGCGCGGGACGAGGTGGTAGAAGAACAGCAGTGTACAGATGGCAAACAGACTAGTTATTAGGAACTGCTTCTGTCGGCGGCGTGGTGGGGGTGTTGATGTGACAGTGGTGGTGACAGTAGGGAGAAGCATCTTGGCCATGTTGGTCCTGGTTTTGTCGTTCTTCGAGTTGGATGCAAAGCTTGCCTGCATTACAGTGTAGAGCAAGTGCGGGGACACACTCGCCTTATGTGCCGCCTAGTGCACGATGTAAGATGAACGATGGTGGTCACGCTGCGGCTGAGCTGAGGAGGCCTAAGCTAAGCCCCGTCCGAACCAAGACGGACCACTTTCTACGGTAGTGACTATCTCAATCTCGGTGCAGTGCCAGAATTAATTTGGACCAAGAACAAAGCCAGAAGTTAGGATGAACCAAAGATGTTAAACTACGTATCCCCCCAAGCGGGGTCTCACCTTTGATATGTGTTGGTTATGGGTGCAACGGCACTGCCAACGTATAAACGTCCCGGTAAACGGCAGTGCTAGTGCGCTAAAAGAAGCTCGTATCTGACAGACCTTAGCGAGAACGGCAACGCGGAACTTTAGTCCAATAGGCTGTGCGCGCTGCTTACTGTGCTCGTATCCACAATAACCGGTGTCTGAAGCTGAATTTGGCGCGAGCACGTGGACATGAACCGCTTATGGACGTTATTATGTTGATGCGTCGCTAGAACCGCGATGCATGTCACTTTGAAGTTGTTGTTTTGGTAGTGATATAATTTGTCTTCGAGATGCTACATCTGCCGCCTGAACTTGCGCTCGTAGGTAGCGGTAGTAGAAGCAGCTGTTGTTGTGTGAGCTGCACACTATGATCGTGCCTAGCATCATAGCTGATCCACCACACAGCGCAGAATTTTATTCCAGAATCCACCGTTTTCTGACTGTTCTCGTATCTAGTCCTGTTGGCGAGATTTGCGATGAGTCGTTTGTATTGGAAGCTATGGGTAGCTAAGGTGTTTTGGTTGCTAATAAGGCTGTGCCTTGGAGTGATCTGCTTCTCAGGGGTCCCCTTTTATCGCACAAATTTCTGCATAATTGCCAATGCAGCGATGGATTTTGCAGGTGAGGATGATGCAGAACATGGCGATGTTCTTAACGGTTCGACTAGGTCCACGAGATGCTGCACAAATTAGCCACATTTACACAAAAAATACAAACAAACTTACGCAAGCATGATACCCGCACCCGTAGCCATGGCGGCGAATTGCATAGCCGTCTTCCTGACCTCCTTGCCCCTATCTGGCCCAGTCTCCAATAATTCAGGAATGACTGCCACGGTTCCGACATACAGGAAGGTACCGGCGGTAAATGGCAGCAGCAGATCGCCCCACTGCAGGCTCGTTCCCGCCAGCCCCACTACGGGACCCTCAGTTCCAGCCTTGGCCGATCCGCCAAACTCCTGCACGGCGATGCCGATGCAAGTGCCGAGAAATGCACCGACGGCAGTAACAAACTGCGCGCCCATGGCTGCACGCTTGCTGAAGCCTGATTGAATGAGCAGAGCAAAGTCGCCGACCTCATGTGGGATCTCGTGGAAGAAGACGGCGACAGTGGTTGTGGCACCAATGGTAGGGGAGGCATAGAAGGAGGAGCTGAGGGCGAGACCGTCAGTGATGTTGTGGGTGAAGTCGGCGATGAGGTTGAGGTAGCCGCCGAGTTTAACGCTGGCGTTGATCTCCTTCTCTGCTTCCGTCTCTGCAACGGCCGTGGTGGTGTTGGCTGGCTTGCGGGCGCGGAGCGAGTCTTTATCGTCAGTGATGGAAGCGCCTGTAGTGGTGGCAGATGCATCGATCGTGTCGTGGGAGTGGGCCTGGCCGTGCGAGTGGTCGTGTCCGGCGCCGCCCGTCGCAATCCTCAGGCCTTTGTCCATGGCCACGAAGGTGATGAAGCCGACCATGATGGCGACGCCAAGCAAAAGGTTCTTGTTGGGCTCCACCATGACAAACTTGACCTTGTCGTGCTCGTCCTCGCCCAGGAAGATCTCAGGCAGCAGGTGGAAGAGGGTGTCGCCCAGCAGTCCGCCCACGGCGAAGGCTACCATGACGGACAGCGACGAGGGGTCGATGTTGGGGGGACATAGCGCGAGGAGGAAGTTTGGCGGGCCCGAGATGTACAGGGTGGCGAGGAGGGCGTTGACTGCGGGGCTGCCAGGGAAGAGGAAGCTGAAGACCTGGGAGGAGACGGACGACGTGGTGGGGTTGGTGGCTACTTTGTGCGTGTTGAGGGCCTGGACGAGGGGGCATTGCTGGGGGAGTCAACACGACGATGCCTTGCCATTGATGTGTCTGCGCCTTCCACACGTGGGACGACGCTCTTCTAGTTGTTGACGGGGAATCGATAGAGACGGAAGGGACATACCTGCAGCTGCTCCTCAATCTCACTCACACTCAACGTGCCCACGGGGACCCCAGTCTCGCCCTTGACGGCGGCTGCGGCGACATTCCACGCCAGCACGCCAACAAAGATGGCTAGCGACAACAGCGTTCTACTACGGCGCGACACCATGACGACGCGTGTGCTTTCGGTTGACTTGCCTCGGCTTGGGGGGTGAAGGTTGCGTGTCTTGACGGCGCACTTGGCCCTCCCGATAACGATAAGCTCGACTAGCGCCTTTCAATCCGAAATTTTGGGAAAGTCGCGACCACACACCTGCGCAACCATCACTCCACCAACACACGGCCATAACCCCCACACCACCCGCAAAATAACACAAAATGGGTCGCGAACTCCAGAAGAAGAAGAACAAGTCGTCGATCCCCAAGAAGCGCCAGAACGGGCCCTCGAAGAAGAAGATTCTGCAGAACCCCATCATCGCGAAGCACTGGTACAAGTTTTGCCCTGCTCTCGCCCATTCGCCTCACTAACACCCCCAGGAACCAGAAAGAAACCCTCACACAAAACTACCGTCGCCTCGGCCTGACGTCGCGCCTCAACCACGCCACGGGCGGCACCGAGAAGACAATCGCCCTCCTTGGCCTCAACGACGCAAAGTCTTCGCGCGCAGACACAGCCGCAACCAGCACCGCCAATGCCCTGAACATCGTCTCCAAGGCCCCCCAGCACATCGAGACGGAGGAGATTGAAGTCGAGCGCGACCCCGAAACCGGCGCCATCCTGCGCGTCATCGGCCAGAAGGAGACCGTCTACAACCCGCTGAACGACCCACTGAACGAGCTCGAGGGCGATGGGGAGGCTGAGTGGGATGGATTCGCCATGGTGCCAGAGCCTATGCAGCAGGAAGACCAGGTCAACCCTGTCGTGAGGGAGTTGGAGGAGGCAGCGCGGAACGGGGCACGCAAGGCGCCGCGGAAACAGAGTCAGCTCGAGGTCGAGTGGGTCAGTGCGCTGGTTGCGCAGCATGGCGATGATTATGGCAAGATGGCGAGGGACAGGAAACTCAACCCCATGCAGCAGACAGAAAACGACATCAAGAAGAGGGTGAGGAAGTGGAGAGAGACCAAGGATAAGGGGGGGAAGCCGTGGGTGTAAATCTCGTGTGTGCAAATACGTGACGAGACGTGTGCCCTCGTTGTGGAAGAAAAAACAGGATACGATTCAAAACTCGTGCCAAGCACTCATGGGAAACGACGTTCAGGAAAAATTCATCATCATCGGTACAATTAACCGCCACCGTCGAACCTTCTCAGTAAAACTCGCGAATCTCCTCCCTGACTGGATGATATCTCCTTTCCAGAAATAGAAGATACCACATGAGATCAACTCTTACACACTGCCAGCACGAAACCCATACAGCCTCTCACTTGTTAAGCACATTGAAAAATAATGTTGCACTCAACTTACCTTTGACAGATTCTGAGTCACATTTCTCGACGCTTGAAAGAGACAATGCGACATACGACTAACTTTGTGCTAACCGCTTTTACGCGTCTTTGTCTACAACAACGCAGCTTTACCAAGTCGATTGTGTGTGGCCTGCTTTGTTGAGTACCACACCATCGTGGGAGTCCAAACATCAATCAAATACTTTGACATCGCCCCCTGAACATGTCAGAAAGCTCATACATGCAACGACCCATCACACACCACTAACTCCAACTCAAAATGGCAGACGCAACTGGACTTGGGCCTCTCAAAACGGCAAGAGGCTACTACGAGCGAGCATGGCGACAGGAACTGAAGCGCATACATCCGCATTGGACGGCGGGTAAGTCATCTACATCGTTTTGCGAAAAGGAGGACGCTAATCTCGATTTATAGCTACCATACGGAAGAATTTGAAGTGGCTGTGGGATAGTCGCACACAGGCTGAAGAGGATGCATGCCAACTTCTGGTTGACAATGGAGCGAGCGCACACCCCGTTATCGACGTCAATATTGCGCCTCATAGTTCGGTGGAAGATAACATGCCACCGGATGCTCGAGCGGCGTTTTGGAGTACGTGGGCTGCTCAGGCTGGAGTGGCTCCTGTGGTTCTACCAGCTGTACTGCCAGCACCAGCACCAGTACCAGCTCCAGTCCTCCCAGTCCAGCCCCTCAACTCATCCGTGACCTTCCTCCCAGCGATCCCCCACATGACCGAACTCCCCAAGTTCCCTACCGAAAGAGACGAGCACGCCGACTGGGTAGCCCACGACCCCAGCGATCTGATTTCCTTCCCGGACTCTACACCCGCAGACCGCTGGCAAGGCGCACGCATGCTCGGCCGAGGCGCCAAAGGGGTCGTAGGACTCTTCGTGAAGCTAGACGAGCACGACAACATCGTCGACGTAAGCATCCACTCTCCACCCATCACACCACACTATGCTAACCCATCTAACAGCGCGTAGCCATAAAAGACACGGCCAAAGATCCCCCAGAAGTCTGGTTCGACCTCATCCGTTGGCGCGACAGACTCCCCATGGACATCGCCATCCTAGAGCGTCTCGAGACCCAAGGTGCCCATCTCAACATCCTCGCCTACCGCGGCTACCGCCTTAGCACGATCCAGCAGCGCTACCGCCTGTACAACGCCGTCTGCGACTACGGCTGCCTAATGGACGCGCTGGAATTCTACTCCGCGCCCTGGCGCCGCCGCCGTAACACACATCGTAAAATGGAGTTCGACACCATCTTTGGCACAGACGAAGCCAAGCGCCTCGCTGCTGCAGCGTACGAATTCGCAAGCCCGTTCGACTCCGTGGCGGCGGCGCAGAAGGCGCTCGCGACGGAGGATCTGTGGGGGGATGGCGAGGTGGATGATTGGAAGAAGGGCCCTTTTGCGCTGCCGACGGAGGTCATCCCCGAGGCGTTTCTGTGGGAGGTGTTCCGCTGCTTGGTCGAGGCGTGTAGTTACCTGGAGAGCGGGGCGGGCGTGGATCTCGGGCCGGGTAAGGACTGGAGGCCGATTCTGCACGCGGATCTGCATCTGCAGAATGTGTTTGTTATGCCGCCCGAGCCGGATACGGGGGAGCGTGTTGACGAGGATATGGCTTCTCCTGGAGAGGAGGGAGACGGAGAAGATGGGAGGAAAACTTACGTCGAGTACGATCATAGGGCGGTAGGAAATCCCACACACATCTTTGCTACAGATGGCGAATATACTGACTAACTGCGCAGTGGCCCCGAGCCGTCCTCGCGGACTTCGACAGAGCGCAATTCGACCTCCAAGGCCCAGGCGACTACTACCAAGACAACCCATGGCACTACCTCTCCGACCACGGCGCCGAGAACCTAGGCGAGAAATACCCACCTGTAAGTACCCCCTTCCCCTCCACCCCAAAGAAAACTCCCAGCTAACACCCTCCCCCCCCCAGGAATTCTTCCCAACACACACAGCCTACCAACCCGGCGGCGGCGGCCCACGCTTCGACTCCAAAACAGACG